GGGGGGGGGGGGTCACAATTCTTATGAAGAGATAGAGAAAGTGGGCCAAGGCTTAAAAAAGATAAACAGAGATGTACCACTGTGATTTACTGCAGGGGAGTTATCAAAGGGATTAGCACACCTTTCAGGGTTTTGTTTAATCTTAAGTATGTTTTCTGTCTCTTTTCCCCCCACTTATTGCACAGTCAAGGTTTTGTGAGAAACATTTGGTCTTTACATGAATATTTTCTTATGCTTTTGGTGATTTTGTTCTGAGATTACTCAGTTGTTTGGTGAATTTTCTTTATCTTTCAACTGACTATATTTCCGATGTTACACTGAGGAACGTCCAGTGTTCCAACAATGTAGTAGTTATATTTTAGAGAAATCTTTTTAGAGACACATATCTGGTAACTGTGAACATTGTGCTCTGTTATATCACAACTGAAATTGTTATCTGTTGTATAAAATACAGCAGATTACAGGTGTAGGTTAAAGCCCTTTCTCGAACAAATGCTCAAGCACAAGCAGACATGGTTGGAAGGCATTGAATCTTACAGAAAGATGTTTTATAGCAATGTCTGAATGTGAAGTCAACTCTTTAAAGCAAACTTCTTTAATGGCAGAGGTTTAAGGTACCCACACATCATATCTGATTTATATTGTTACACATTCCTCAGTGCAGTGTACTCAAACACAAGTTTTACCTTGTAAAACTTATGAACACACATTTTCTTTTTTTCAATAGATAAGTACTTATACAAAACTTTTAAAGTAACTTATCCACTCATATTGCCTCATACTACAATATAAACGTCATGTTGTTGGTGGAAAAGATGATTTCTAAACAGAGGGATAGTAGTCAGGTGAGGAATACCGATGAATTAATTTCAACTTTTAAAACTACTTCTGAGAAGTTCACACTAGTGACAAAAAGATGACACATTAAGCACCTCAATGAAGAAACCGTTCAGATCATTTTAAATTTTATTTAGTGTGTGTTAGTGGGCATTCTGACAGGAATTACTGAAAGCTGTATTGTTTCATTAGGGAAACTCTTCTGTTGTCTGACAGCTGGAGCCTTGCAGCTATTCTTTATAAACACATCCACTTTCTCCTTATAAATAGTTTACAGAGACAAATCCACACTGAGGCGGTCTCATAGTGAGGCAGACAGTGAAAACACAGCCACTGTAGATGGATGGAAACTTGGGAAAACTATTCTCACAATGCTGAAACATCCATTTTGAAAGTTTGCGTGTAAATTTGGATGAAAGAAATTGTTTATGTCCACTTCTTATAGCACGTTACACATCACCATCCACTGGCAATGTAACCAGATAAGCAGACAGCCTGACAACTTGACTCACCAGTCACATTTATAGCATCCAACACCGCCACCCACCACCCCCTTCCCCACCCCCAACAGAACATGCAGTAGCCCCCCACGCCCATTACCCACCATGGCAAACAGTTGGTTTGATCATCAACTTTCCTGATCTACCTCAACAGCTGTAAGTCTAAACTTGCAGCCCCTTCAGTTTGTACAGCAATTCACAGTGAGTAGGGAAAAGGGGACTTGAAACTAGGACAGAGCAGTCTGGCCCCTTTCCCTTCGAACCAGAGGCGCAGAGAGAAGACACTAGTCTTAGGCGGAGAGAGAAAAGGAGAAGAGATTTTTTGGGAAGCTTGCTGCAGTCACTGAGGAAAGAAACCCCAGGACTCAGACCAGGGTGTCAACATTGCAGAACATCGAATTTTATAGATTTCTTTTTTTCTATTATATCAGGGGAAGAATATTCACTGAACAGAAATCTCATCATCTGGAAACATGCACAAGCGTACAAAGATAAAGATTGCCATCTTCGTGCTGCTGGTGGGTATGGCTTGCATGTTCACGGCAGTGGTGACGGACCACTGGGCAGTGCTCAGCCCGCAGGTGGATAAAGTCAATGAGACCTGCGAGGCGGCCCACTTCGGCCTGTGGAGGCTGTGCAAGAAGCACATCTACATGAGCTTGGAAAACTACGTGGCAGGGCAGGGCTGCGGACCCATCAGCCTACCTGGAGGTAAGAGAAAATTTAAGCAAAACCTGTAACTGTAACTGGCACATTTTACTTTTTTTCTGTTGCTGTACCATTTAGACCACAGCCGTGATTCTGTAATATATGAATATATTGTGTGACTGTGAGGTGCCTCTATGCAATCCAGAGCTCTGAGGTATGAAGCTTCTAAGAATAGAGGTCCTGATGCAGGGTCACTAGACATGTCATATGACATTAAAAAACTTCCTTGTGACACAGAAGAAAGATCCTATTCTAAGTGACATGCACACACCCCTCCATCATGTAATACACAGTTAAAAGACCAGTGCCATGCCATTGTTTCAACAGCCAATTATTCAGAAACCCCAATAGTTAAAAAATTGGAAACCCATTAGTCAGCCATTATTCCAAAAACAAATTCCCACTGCTCTGAAGGCCTGTTGTTCTGAAAATACACCCTCCACACACCACCTACGTATGTAACTTAAAAGACACAACTAATGTACTTATTTTAACCCTAACCCCTTTCCCAAACGCATTTTGCTCAACCTAATCAAGTAGTTTTGATACTAAACCTAACCAAGCTGCAACTGCTAACATGGTTTCACAATATCAACCATGTGTTCATTATTGTTACCATGACGACAACGGTCACCTGACTATTGTTATCATGACTACGAAAGTCACCTGATATTGTTCTTTCCTGCATGTCCAAATATACTACAATATTAAAGGCAAAAACCTCCAGGGAGAGTGTGCATCTTTGGAAAAATGGGCCTCCAGAGCAGTGGGCTTTTGTTTGAGGGAAAATGGGTTGTCAGACAATTGGGCTTTCAGTCCAATGGGAAATTTTTCGGACTATTGGGGTTTTGGAATACTGGGCCGTCGCAAAAAAAGGGTAGTCCCTGAAATGCCTTATTCTAACACTTGCTTATTCTCTGAGTTCAGGCCATGTTTAGGCTATATTTTGGTGGTTTGCAAGTCCGCCACTGAGCCTCTGTCAGCTGGGCCACCTACCCTTCCTTGAATAAACCCAAGGGTGAGGGTTGAAACAGCATCCAGGTAGACCAGGCCCCAAGAAAAGGCCTTGAGAGGATGCCTTAGCTATCAGTTAGCTGTAAAGATTTAAGCAGACCTTAGCAGATATTTGACATCAACCAAAGATGGTCATGCATGTGTGATGGAGCCCCAACAGGCTATAGGCTTTCCACTAAGCAAACACCAAACAGCACAACAGCTGGTTTCACTGGTTGGTGCCTGCTTTCTGTTTAAAGACATGTTCATCAGTAAAACCAGCTAAGAGAACCTGCAGACAATTGATGCTCCATGCAACGTGGGTACCTGACACTCTATGAAAGATCCTCAGGCACTTCACGTTAAAATAGCCCTTACTCAATGATGAAAAGTAACTAAGAACATACTGAACTTAAATACAAGTACTTCACTTTAGTATTCCCATTATTTTATATGTCCTATTATTTTCTAACCTTATCTGAGAAATATCATTGAAATCGCAGTAGTTCATCCAAGAGAACAAGGTAAACAGGTACTAATCACAAGGAGACAATGTTTAATTGGCTTGGTATAATTTCAATTAATTACAAATAATTATTAGAGTAAACTTTTACCAAAGTAAAACTTTTTGACAATGCATGGTAGGTCAGCTGAAAACATTGTAATCTGTGTCTTTCTGTGTAGTAGTACATTACAAGCAGTAACCAATTCAGTAAAATATAAAGAGAATACATTTTCCAACAAGTAAATTAATTGTGTACATTTACTTTGGTGTAAATAATCACAGTTTCTCCAGTCATTAAGACTGCAGTCTTAATTCCTCTAGAAGTCAACAGCTGCTTATAAACTCTACCCAGCTAATCTTCATAAAACACCATAAAAATGTTTATGTTACCTTATATCTCTTCTTCAGAGGGATATTGTAGAGTGCATTCTTCTTTTTACTCTATTATACATGTAAAGTATTTCACAGCAACATTTACTTGTTGCAGATTTTATATATAAAAATATATCAACAGTTTATGAAATATGATGAATGGTTGTCGATTAAACTACTCTTACATGTTAGTTATTCAGTAATACAAGTCCAATAATTTAATGTAACATAATGTATAATACAACACTGTAAAAGGGATACATTTGCTGATGATAATGGTGCTATGTATGTTTACACTGTGGTATTAATACCTGTACTTACATAAGGATCAGAATACTTCTTTCACCACATCCCCTAATGAAGATAATGTGACCAGCAAATAGGTCATTTTTATCCCAATGTCCTCCTAAGACCTTGCTATGAATGTCTCAAAATAAACGTTCTATGATAAGAGGTGCTTTTATAGCTTCTTGAATAAAAATCTGACTGTAATTAGATAAAATGATATATATTTATATTATAATATAAACAATGTTGAGCAGTTGCTGATTAACAGTGACTCTAGTCTCAGTTACTTGTGATGAGTTACTCATTTGTTGAATGGTGGCAACCCTGCTGGCACGTTGACCGTTAACTGAGAAACCATTATCTGACTGCTGATTGTTACCTGACACTGCATGTCGCTTTATGTAAATTAGCCCAGAACATCCCACCAAATTTGTCCAACTCACAAAGCTCCCAGAATATGTCCAAACTGATGCAGTTGTTAGACTCTGGGGAATCCCAGACTCTGTCTGCACTGCAGGGCCATTCCAGGAGCAGATGAAATGCCTGAGGGTAGTTCACTGGTGCAGGCATGGCAGGCATGTGCTGAATATATGAAATCAGCTCGACCCACCCAGACATGCAAGGAATTCATAAGATTGCAGTGACAACTGGCTAATGTTTCTGGAGCTTTTATCTGCAGGTTTAAGTTATAGCATATAAATACTGTCAGTGGGAATAATTTGGAAAGTGAATTTATTATACTACACTATTATATTATACGATATTATATATATTTTGCAAAGGGCCAGAACATTAATAACTTTCTTTAGCTACTTATTCCTAACAGATGGTTTTGGTGTCTACAATACATGTGATATGTGATGGCCACCTTGGCAGCCTTTAGTTTAGAAGTAAGCAAGTCTAATAGATGTTCCATCAGTCTCCAGGGGTTTCTCCCAGCCCTATAGCTGTATTTGGACAGGAACATTATTGTTTATCATAGCCACACATCTTTAGAGAGGTGTCAACCTCTGATCCAAAGCAAGACTTGAACAGTGTGAGGAGGTCCTGTTCAATGTCAGACGCTCATCTGGAAAATATAGGCTGAGCTGTTGTTTGGGTTTCTGCTGACAAAGCGCAGATACACTTTATGTGAATAATGCAGACTTTCATTATGTGTCGCTTCAGCTCAAAGAAATAAAGTCTCATGCAAGCCAAAATTTACCTGACGGCTATTTTAGTTTTAGTTGCTAAACTCTAGTATAAGTTGTCCTGCTTTGATTTCATACTACAATCTCTATTTATTCTGGCTTTCCGAGCCGCTGTGAGCTGTTAATCTGACACAAAGCTCTTCCTGGTTGCTCTCCCTGTTTAATTAAATGAATTATGAACGTTTATGCTCAAATGACATTTTGGAAGTTTCAATGGCCACAGCATACAAAGACAGAAGATGGCTACAATGTATTCACCATGATTCCAGATACAGAAAAGGTGTGATTTTTAAAATAATATTGTGCAAACTGCTCAGCAAGCAGGCGTTGTGGTTATAAATATAAGCCACGTAAATACTCAGCTGTCTAGGCTGGAAGCCACGAGGGTCAAGTGTTCGCGACAAGTCCAGCGTTCCTCTGAGTGACAGGGCCGCCTGGCATAACTCTAAGGCCTGCTGTCCCACCAAACTGTTCCCACTAGACCTTCCTGCAGCTTCACATGTCCGTGAAGCCCACAAAGCCACTCAAATTACTTTACACTCCCAAGGGATAGGATGCTTAGTCCAAAAAGCAAGTGGAACCACTGGTGTTTTCGAATTTATAGGTACTTAAATTACATGCCAACCCAGGGATAGGCATCACATATAGGGATAGGGAATTGCCAGTGATGTCTTAAACACTTATATAGACATGAGTCCAGCAGGTAAAATATAGATAAGGAGCCAAATGTAAATTTAATTCCCTTGATATTTTGATTCAAGGGATTTTTTCACATGATGTACCAAAAAAGTTTAACATTAAAACCTGCAAAGCTCTGTAATAAAAGACGCTAATGTACGTACAGTGAAAGTAATTTTGGTGCCATGTACACAATGTGTTGGCAAGGCAATTAAAATCATTTAGGTTGTATTCACTTGTGTTGGCTGATAGACCTAAGAATGAGAAAGGTATACGACAGCCAAAGAGAGCAGACAAAACAAAAACACAAGCTCAAGGCCAATCTTAATTCCTGCGGTAGACATAAGAGCTACAAAACGTGCTGCTGGGACATGACAATGAACAGAGATACTGCTAATCCGATGTCCTCACCTGATCTTTTTAAAGATGACCGATTGCCCTATTAGGAAGAAGAGAGGCTTTATAGAGCCTGTCAGCAGAGCCTAGAGGATGAACAAGTGGTGCAGCCTTGTGTGTTTGGCAGCACGCTTCCAAAGATGAATACAGATTAATTTATGACCACCAGCTTGTTGAAGCTTGCATTCTAGAGATGGTACAAAAAGGTGTAATTAGGCAACACATACACCAAGTCACGTGCGGGAATAAAACTGCTTGATACAGATAATGAGCTCAAAGCATCCACTCCAAGGCCTAATAAGTGCTGAGTGGCTCCACTTAAACGGACATAACAAACCAGATATGCATTTGGTGAATGAAAAACCATTCGGCCTGCTGGTAGTAGGTACACTGAGGGGTGGATTTGCATTTCCCTAAAATCATGAATAGTCACAGTTTTAAGGGAATGACTGAAGTTCAAAGCCTCCCTTTTAAATGCAAGGTTTGTCTCAGAAGTAGAACTATAGTTGACTAGCCGTTATCACCCACTCCTACTGTATGTGCCTTCTACAGAGAAAACAGTGGAGCTTGTTGCTTAGTAACAACCTCTGTTTTTTTTTCTTTTTATGGCGAGTCCCTGTCCTCATTCATAAAAAACATATTTATTTTGCATGTGGATCACCACAACATTCCACACAGCATTAAAAGCTTGTACATGGATACATACAAACATGTTGACTTGGTTTGGAAAAAAATATGATTCAGAGATATTGTTTGTGCCTATTAAATTACTCCTTTTAGGGCCACCTGAAATCCCCTTTAGCTCATTTTCATGGTTTCCAGGGTACATAGGAAAATGATCTACCCTCCCAGCATGGGTCATGAAGCTCTTACTGTGATATGATAGCATGCGGCACTACATATTTTCACATGAAAGCTTTTCGCTGATGGCCCATGGTGAGACTGTATGAAAAAGAGGATTAGGAACATGCGTGTGTGGAGACCTCATCGCATAACCAAGATCAATGATGTGTACTTGACTTTGCATGAGATTAGGTGACATAGTTGTGTGATGTTACATATATAAACACTCTCACCCTCTCGCCAAATATGATCATTTGAATGAGAGATGAGATAAGTCAAATGTAAACAAGTTTTTTTTGTTAGTTTTTTTTTTACACTCGGCAAAGCATCAAAGAATATTTCCTCTACCATACCATCCCATGATTATATAGAGCGACCTGGCTTTATTTGTGTAAATCCCCAGGGTTAAACACCTCGTCTGCTCAAGAGAAATTGAATGTGATGTCTGCTGTAACCATTTTTACTTTGACAATAAAAAAAACACACAAAGCATGGCCTGCACAACATCACAGCCATTTTAGTAGTAATATTATACTGGTGGTGTCAATCTGTGAGATGCTCTTGTCACAAAGATCTGAGAGTATGTGAACTGTTCAATAGAGGTATCATATTCACATGATCCATCGGAGCAGATGAAGTATGTACTCCATGAGTAAAAGTATGTGGGGCAAAGCTTGAATAGAAGTGTCAAGTTTACAACACAACAAAACAAAATCTGTTTGTTACATGATATGGTGGAACAGGTTTTGATGAAGATTTTATTTGCCAGAAACAAAAGTTTGTTTGTACTTTGGTTCAACAACAAGAGAATCAACAGATTAGACACACAGCAAAAATCTTCCACATAACACATCATCATTGTCAATTATAGTCACGTCTCCTCCACAGAACCCTCTGTTGATGGTTCCCTTACTTTTCATGCACAGAGCAAGTATTTGCCATTTAAATGTAATGACATGAAATTTCATTGGACAAGGCCAAACATTTAAAAAATACATAAAGGATAGTAAAATCAAATCCAGTGAAGTTTAAATGGTTAAATTATTATTAATTTTCATATAATGTCAGATCAAAGACTACATGTGATGTGAAAGGCTGAACCAGCAGAGAATTATCACCCGATTCTGCAGTTCCCCTCAGATTTAGAGTGTTTCGATGTCTTTCCGCTCATTGTATTGGTTTTACAGCCTGCAGCTCTTCTGTTTTGATTCAGTCTCACTCTTCTCATTAAACCTATTCACAGTAGGAAGTAGCTGTTTTCAGCAAAAATAAGTTTTAAAAAGTAATATTTACCTGCCCAACACCAAACTGTAAGGTCAGGTTAACAGGTCAATGTAGTGAAGCTTGTAGCTTTTAAGGAATTGTTTTTTTTTTTTGAGACCAAAAAAAAAAAAAAAAAAAATAGAATGAATATTTGACTTTAATGTATTAGGTGGCCACAAATAAACTCCAAATAAATGCTAACGCTGCTTTATGTCTGTTGGATGTGTAAATAGGCAGCTGGTTGCTCACATGTTAGCCACTGTAAATGTCGTGTTTACAGCTCCCCAAGAAAATTAATTATTGCAATTTGACATTTAATTCATTTTGAACTAATTCCTATTTGCTTTCTTTTCACAGAGGAAAACTGCACTTACTTTCGACACTTCACTCCTGGACAGGATGCAGAGATATTTGAATATAAAACACAAAAAGGTATGTTTCTGTTATTGGCTCCCTTATGGTGGTTAATGTTATTCCATCCTGTCTAAAAATAATTAAAAAAAAAGAGATTCATCTGTGTATTCTTTTGTAAATATGTTCCTTGGAATATTAGGAAATCCCGGTCTGTGTGAAGTTGAACATCAAACTGGCTGCCTCACATTTTCCCAACTGACCTCACCGACTGCTGCTGATCTGTTCCCTGTGGGCTCAGATTTTCATTTATGTTTCACATCTGACCGCAGCACAGTCATCGATGTCACAGTAGGTGTATTTGACCGACTGTCAATGACAAAACCCTTTAGAGGACATGAAGAATTCCTGGGTGAAAGGCAATTCCTTTACCTTAACCATTTGTCCAACTGGCTAAATTTAATGTGTTATAATTGGCAACACTTGGCAAACCATAGCTAATATATGCAATGCACTTGCACTGCATTGTTACATATTTATATTTTTAAAGTGTGCCTCACAAATTATTTAGGAAGATTCTGATGAATATACTAATGCTTTTTGAAAACGTAACAGTTTTTTATTGGAGTTTGTTTGTTTCTTTGAAAGGAGGTCAAAGTTCACTCAAAAGGGCACATAATTCACAGTGTGCACTGACACAAAGTGGTTCTGTAAATGGTGTTGTAAGACCATAAACTGTACAAACAGTACAGTCATAGCTGGGTGTGTGTTCCAGCCCCTATCCCCTCCATCCTCTCTCCATTGACAGCCCTCCCATGAAATGTGCATCAGGGGGCCCGAGTACATGTGGCGCACTGTCAGACTCAATTACTGGGGTGAACAATCTTGTGCATGAAGTCGTACATACTTCTACACCCTAAACACAAGGATGCTAATGCAAGCATTCATGGGTACCCCTCCCCCATTCTCCAACACACAAACACACACGTAGCATACCAGTGCTGATGGCTAGCCCTTGAGAGACACATTACAAGTTTGCAGCTCTGACCTAAGTTCCATGTAGTGTTAGTCACTCTTGACTGAGCCATTTGGCTATACCATAATGACGCATAAGGCTGAATGAGCATAGTAGATATATGTCACCACAGGCACATCCATCTATTCAGTAAGACTCTTATCAGACACAGGGAGTTCGCCAGTAGAAAATAAATGAGGTTTAATGAAAATCTTGCAAGTTGAGAATAGTCAAGGATGCGGTGGAAATGGATCTGGCCCTTTGGAGGTTCTTCATATCTTTCACAAAGGAGCATGTAAACTATCTATGCAAAATAAAGTCTTCAAAAACAATTCATCTTTAAGGCATAACTAGAGATATACTGGATATGTAAGGGTTAGCATGTGCCAGATCTGGTCAAGAGAGGGAACTAAAACAAATCTAAAATTCTGAAACTTCTCCTACAAACATAAAAGAAAGCAACATATGCACATGCCTACATGCACATAAATAATCTCATGTTTGTGAGGACTGGGAAGCCGTGTATGACTTAAACATTGATATCTTTTGATGTCTACCTTGTTCTCGGTGTTCAGAAACTTTGGTGTTTCAGATTGAGCTAGCGAACAAGCTCTTAAGACGCGCAGTATCTCAGAGTGTTCAGGGTGCGGCCCATCTTCCCCTGCCAGTAGGAGATGAAGGTTCTGTTCCCCCAAAGGAGTGCCTCTCCTCTGGGCACGGTTCACAGGTGAACAGGCGGCAGATCAAAGGCCTCGCATCCTAACAAGCCAGCTGTTGTTCACAGACACACTGTACCTGTAATTATGAGGACATTTATATAGTGTATGAATTTCTATGTTGAATATAAAGATTATTGCTTTCTCTTGCAGCGATATTCTATATTTTTATTATTGTCTTCAAATCCCATGCATATACAAAAACCGACAACTATTAGCTGTGTAGCCAAAGTCGGATATATCTAGACTGGACCAGAAAAGTTTGACTAGAGCAACGGCTGCGCATTCAGATGCTGCTGCCGGTTGGCTAGCTCCTTTAAACGTCTCTGTTTTTGCTTAAATCTGTTTTCAGCTTTATTGTTGCAACATGTATTACCTAGGCTTACTTAAGGCTGTCCAGTGTGGATGAAATGGGAGCCAAATAACAGGAAATAAGAGACTGTTGTGCCCACATCTTTACAGAGACCAGCTCCATCAGCATCCTGGAACCAACGAGAGGAGGCGGACTCTGTGTTTACACTGATGATGCTTGGTGCTCAAATGCAATGCAAATGCAATCAAATTTCAATCAAAGTTTCTTTTAATGTGAAGATAAAACTATATTATTATCACTTGTTGCTGCTGTTTTGTATTTTCACAGACACAAATTGAAAAGATGCACTGCAGAATAATTTCTTGGGTGAATATTTGTATGTATATATGTATGTAAATAACTGTATATATTGGTTTATTTTATTTTATTTTATTTATTTTCTATGAAACATGTGACCCATTTTTAAAGATTTGTGTCTTTAGTATGAACCAAACAGCTTGGGGTGCAGCAGATGGAGTAAAGCTGAAATAACCTTCCTATCCTTTTTTAATGGGATTTGTTGACAGTAAGAAAAATATAGAATAAAGCGAGGTTTATCATTTAAGCCTAACCTGACACTAATGACTGGTTAAGAACATCTACAAAAACATAGAGTAATAGGACATAATTCCATGTGCAAAACAATATACTGGCTCAGAATGTAAAACAAATTGGCAAAACAATGTGAAAAGGGTTACAAAGTGGCCTCAGCCTTAAAAAATAATGAAATAGCCAAATGCCTGTGTTATCTAACAATCCCCTATATAAGAGTTTGTAGCTTTTCAACTCTTTATACTGCTTGTTAAAGCGGTGACTTCATTTTGATTGTAGAAAATGTGATGTGCCGCTCAAACCACTAGTCGACTTCTTTTGTATTTATGAATCAAAGAAAATGTATATATAAATGATGGATTCAGGCCGTGTTTCTTTCTTTTTTTTGTCTATTTAAAACATAGAGTTTGTGACTTTACTGAAAGAATAACAAAAAATCAAAAATCCGAGTTAATTTCAGTCCAGTGTACAGTACATATGTAATGTAAATAATGTGAAATTACACAATATGAACAGAATCAAATGTTGTGAAGCTTTAAATATAGGATGCCATTGGATTGTAAATGACATTTACGAGCCACATCTTGGTCTCTTTCTCTCTAGAATACAACATCTCTGCTGCCGCCATCTCCATCTTCAGTCTGGCCTTCATAATCCTGGGGTCTCTGTGTTTGATGGGATCGTGTACCGGTAAAGGCAAAGGAAGAGACTACCTCCTCAAACCTGCTGGCATGTTCTTTGCATTTGCAGGTGGGTCCAGTCAACTAACTCAATTTCAATGTCCCTGCAGCATTTACAGTATGGAATGCTAAAATCTCCCCTGGCCTTCATCATGGTTGCATAATGTTTACACGTTTCTCCTTCCCAGGTCTCTGTGCCTTCATCTCCCTGGAGGTGATGCGTCAATCAGTCAAACGCATGATCGAGAGTGAAGACACAATCTGGATCGAATACTACTATGCCTGGTCCTTTGCCTGCGCCTGCACCGGCTTCATCCTCCTGTTTCTCACCGGCATCGCCCTCCTCATCCTCTCAATGCCCCAGATGCCCAGGAATCCATGGGAGACTTGCATGGACGCCGAGCCAGATCAAGTGGAGTGATAGCTAGACGGACAGACAGACAAACACAGGATGAGAGTTGACTGTGTCTTTTATTCTTACAGATGTTTAGATTCATTTCAAAACGAGCGCTGGCCATAAAAGGGTAATGACATGATGAAAGGGACTGGTTTGGGTGTGGGTGGACCATAGTCATGATAGGGAAATGTACCTCCCTACAATTATGCAGCAACTTGAATATGGGCCTTTTGTCGGAGCTCCTGTACGCCCATCCAGATATCACACTTCTCATTTGCAGTTTATTAGTAAGTACTTTTAGTATGCTCGGCACAAAAAGAACTATTAAAAACGGTTAATGACACACCACTGTTAGGCGACCACTAATTTGGTCTCCCAAATGTCACCATCACGCACACCTTAGTTAAACAGACATTAGGATTTTAGTTAGAGTTACATTTTGAGAATATTGTGCATACAGTTGTGGCCTGGCATCTACCATAGGCGACTATGTGATTTTATGTACTGCATTATGTATGATATCTTGTACATATCGAATGTTCGTCTGTTGATTTTTGTATGGGATCGCTCAAGGAGGCAGTTACTTACAAGAACTATCAATTAAGTAAAAGAAGTCAAGACATATGCATTCAAATGTTAAGTTGTATATTTCTAAGATTTATAAGGAACCTTTACATATGAAGGATGTGCCATTAAACTTTGAGAATAAATGACTGATTTTTAGCTAAGGGGTAGTACAGAGCAGGTTTGTGTGTACGTGCGTGTGTGGCAGGCTGAATGCTAAACACCCACACAGCCTGCAGCACTGATCACGTTGGAAAAGGTTCAGTTCTAGCAGGTGCACATACAAGGCTTTTTACTTTTTGTTGATGGCTTCCAAACCAAACTGATACAAAAAAATCTCAGTCCATTTTCATGTGTCATCGTGGCACATTTGATACAGCAGTTGCATTGACCATTTTCTCTGTGTAGAACAAATGTACAAAGATTATAACCCACATGGGTTCATAGTGATGTACTTGGCAACCTTTAACTGCATGTGCAGACAAAAGGTCATTGTCAGTTCAGCTATATTGATTTTTATTTCATCTGTAAAAATAGCATGCTGTTTTAGAATGGACTGTCAAACAACACCCTCTGTCCTTGGACCCTCGATTCGGGTAAGATAAAACTCCCCAAAAAACCCTCTTCACAGGGGAAAATTATAAGAAACCTCAGGAAGAGCCACTGAGGAGGGAACCCCCTGCGAATTCTACTTTGGAAAAAGTTTTACATGTGAGTTATATTACATCTTGTTTCAGGGTCAAGTTCAAACTGCTCTGGTCCAGTTGGGTTTGAGAACCAGAAAAACCTCTATGAGCTGCTTATGCTGCACCAATACTATACACCTTTTCCATGGTAGAGCCAGTGGTGGAAGAAGTACTCAGATCTTAGTAAAAGTAGCAAAACCACAGTGTTGACATACCCTGTTACACGTACAAGTTCCGCATCAAAATAAAGTTAAAGTACCAAAAGTAAAAGCACTCATTGTGCAGAATGAATCGATAAAGTTTAGCTGATGTTGTTTGTGAGAGCTGGAACCGTCCACATTATGAATTATGAATTTGATCAGGGCAAAATTCTTTTGACTTGACTGACATTTTTGTCTGACTGTTACTTTTCTGATATGTTTGACTAAGAAATGAGTAAAATAAAAAAGAAGAAAATCAAACCGGAATAATAATAGTAGCGGCAATTGCTGATATGAATTTCTATATTCTTTCTTATGTTTTGACTTTTTCATTGAATATGGCATGCAATTAAAAAGGTTTTGAATGCAATAGATTCTCTTTGTGTGTTTGTTTATGTGCTATACCTTTGTAATGAAAATAAATCTTGATAAGCTTTGGAAAACTTTTGTCTGAAATGGTTTTATTTTTTGTCTTAGCATTCGTATACCAAAGAAAAAAGTATGAATACGAGTGGCCGCTGACGACAGGTGTGATGGCCTTCAGGTTCTGGTAGGTGGACACTGTATTAGTCCACCTGAGTGCATTTAGGATTCTGTCTTCAGTCATTTGGTTGCAGTTCTCCTTGTTCTACACCACACAGCACTGTATGTTCACACATACACTCACTACTGACCTGCTAATTATCACCATTTATTACCATTTCATTTATTTACTGTTGCAATTTCTATAAATAAATATGACTTATTTTGTCATGGACTAAGAGGCGGCTCATGACAAGGAAGAAGCTGCTGCTGACAAGGACCATTTTATAGATAGATGGTGGAAAGCTTTTGGGGTTGAATCAAGTCTGGCTATCCACCGAAGAACCTTTTAACTGGCTCTTTACTGCATTTTTCATTGTCTCAGCGTTAATGTGTGGTTTAATTAAGTGCTGAGGAGCCTTTCAGACTCTCTAGGTGACTACAGCTGCCCTAATAAATCCTTTAGACAGTGACCCAGCTAGGCAGAAAGGCTCGTCTATAGCAGTGCTGTGTAATGCAGAAGATGATAAAAAAAAAGAGAGACAGAACTCGAGCAGTTTCAATAAAAACACTTTAATAGAGAAACAAATAAAAAAAAAGAAAATAAACCTTTGAAACACAGTCTAAATCCTTTATTATAACCACCACCAATTGAAATGAAGAAGAGTAAAACAGATCTATTCATTATTTTGTACCCACGAGGGAGGAACCAATGGGACTGGGAGGCTGGGAGAACAGGTGTGCCATTGATTCACTGCAGCGAGGGAAGAACAGAGGAGAGCAAACAGATAACAAGAAGAGATGTGGCGTTTATAGAAGGCTGAACACAGTGCTCTCTACTGGCTGGGCAAAAGGTTGCTCCCTTTCCATGTGCCACAATACACACACAAGTTGGTTTTGCTTTGTTTTCTTTAAAAGGCAACACAGAATGATTTCAAGAAAAAAGAATTCATAGGATGATATACGGTGAAACATTGGGTAGTGAAAACATTTAAAATCCGAGTTCATAACAAGAGTAAAGACCCTTGTATCACAGCAAAGATCCTGTCAAACTGATTTTGAAATAAAGATTCTTGATGGGGGAAAAACAAATTGAAGCCTTAAAAACAAATCAGCAATGACGGACAGTTGTAAATAGAATGTCTTTGGCTCAATCTCTTCTGCTTCAAAAATAAATAAAAGTGTAGTTGAAGAAGCGGTGAAATATTAGTATTGCACAACTTCAGAGATTAGCCAACGACCGCTTTGTGAGAAAAATGATTCCCCAAACTAACGCGTCCAAAGCTTCGGAAATACGACACACAGCAGGGAGCAACCTCAGCTAAGCCCCGCTAAGTAACTGCAGAAAAAAAAAGAAAAAAAAAGAAAGAAACTTACATGAGCATTACATATTTGATTGACATGTTAGTAAAATATTATAATAGTTTTGCTGATAATGTCACAAGTTATTGTACACATCAAATAATATACCAAAATTTGACTCTGTAGGTTGAACAAAAGCTTTTTTTTTCTCTTTTTCTTTTTTTTCATTCACAAATCAATACAAACTGATAAAATCAGGGATAAAAACCAGCCAGGTCATCTCAACATGCACAAAAAGAAAGTCTTCACATTGAAAAAACAAAAAATGTTGATTGTTGTACAGCTGTGAAGTGGTGAGAAAACAGAACAGGACAAATCCAGCAACATATACTTAAAAATATGTATCGTACAGCGGGATAAGTTGTCTTATAACAGCTGCAACTGAAATTCTCCTCTTTGTCAAATCAGCCAGACACCATCTTAAAAAAAAATATCTAAAAAGTTACAAGGTGTTGCAACTACCAACTGGTTTGTCGTTGTCCATTTCTAGAATTATCATTATTTTTTGTGAATTTGCATAATTAAAAAGGGCATACCTCTTCTTTGAACAGATTCTACAAAATTGAGGCGCTCCCAAAGTTCTTGTTTGTAAATACCTAGAAAATGCATATTTACAAGTATGTGGTGTTCTCCGCCAAGTCAAAAAATCTGGACCTTTGAATTAAAATGTCAAAACTTCAAAATAAAACCATTCCTTTATGAAGCTCTCCGCTGACTGTTCAAAACACATCTAAGTTATTAGCAGTGGGGTGGTAGCTTTCTGAGGAAGTGACTAACTGCCGTTTGAAAGCCGTGAAACAACAACAGGATGATTTAATACAATTTCACCAATTAAGCAAATGGGGCAGCGGTGTTTTAACGATAAATGATTTTACATACAACAGGACCAAATCACTGGATGACTATTTCCAGTATTGCTTTAGGAAAAGGAAAACCATGGCAGATATAGTATACCAGCATCTTTTTATATTTTAGCTATGAGGGACTGGCATCATCAGGGCTCCGTGTGTACTAGCAGTGAAATCCATGTGCATGTAGCTGTGTGGCCTCCTTGTGTGTCAACCTGTAACAAGCAACTCGCTGACTTAACATTAATGATGCTGTGTTGTATTCTTTGTGTGTTTTAGTTTTCTTAGACAAAAAAGTAATGATGGACGTGGCACATGTAAAAAGAGCTTTTCAGTTAAATTAAAGGGAAGTTCATCTGCTGCCTTAATATCAAAATGCCAGATAAGACTGAAAAAGTGAATAACGCAATTCTTTGAATGACCAGGAACAACTTCCACAACATTACCGATTCATTCTCGTTATGCACAGCCTACAAACACATACATTAGCAAACACGTTTTTGAACAGCTTATTGTATTGTTACGATGTTGTGTTTTTGGTTAAATCTCAAGCAGAGTGTTCAAAGGTGGTGGAGGGATGGTTTCATTTAAATGTCCTGAAATGAGAAAACATTAGGGATAAAGAAATGCTTTTGACTTTCTATGGCTAACGTTTTTGGTGGAACTGGGAGCAAATAGCTTACGAGAGAGATAAGTGATTACTGTTTATTATGAGGTTCATATAACGCGGGCATTAAAGAATGGTCTTACAGAGAAAATGGCAAAGGTTCTTTGGGCAGTCTGTCTTAAGCTATGAAAAGGTATTTAGAAACTATGACGGCAAAACGTCTGTGAGACCAACAGTATATTATAGTATATTATAATAGCATCAACGATCCAAATAATACCCAGTATGCTGTTTGCTAAAGCGCACAACATCTAGGGCATTTCCAATGAAATACAAAGACACAAGCTATTATTATAATTATAATTATTATCTATTATTATTAATAATAATAATGTGTATTTTCAAATTTCAGGGTATTTACTATAAATCTACTGTTTCAATTACTTCAGACTTAACCAAAAATGCTAACATTTAGCTTGTTCAAAAACATCTGAATGACAGTGTTGATCACACCCTCAGTTTCAACTTACCTATCACGACAGACCACATTGACCTCACCACTCTTTCACTTTCACAAACCCTCAGAGTACTGCAACCTTTTCAAAAATGCTCAATGTCCATTAATGACAAAAAAAAAAACACACAAAAAAAAACTAAACCAAAAACATTTCATGTCCACCAGCAGTTATTGAAACATTTTTTTTTTCTGATGGAGATTTTGTTGACACAAACAAAAGAAACTAAATAAAATGAGTATCGGCCACAAGCGAAGCAGTTTGGGATAATCTTATCACAGAAAGCGATGTCTGGTGTTCTCTGATCCTTAAAACAAACCAAGGAGGAATGACGTGGCTGTTGCTATGTTGACATTTTCACACTGTAACTATTGTTGATGAGACATTGGTGAGAAATAAAATGCGCAATCAATATTTGTATTTTTCAGTAAATAATCACATTCACTACTAAATCACTGAAGGTGATTCCCAGGGTAAGGATGTCTAAGAATTAAGGATCAGAAGCCAACGAACAAAAAATAATTCATAATGCAAATGCTAGCATGATACAGGAATTTAAGGACATGTCTGTGGCATACAATTCAGTCTTTTATTTTCTTTATATGTACAGATTAGAGGAAAATTTATCTACTTCTATACACTATTCCATGTAGTTTCTGTGTCAGTTGACCACTTAGCTTTTGTCCGTTACCACAACTACAGTAGTATGAAAATCAAGACGCAACGTCCACTCAAAACTGAGGAATACAAAATGATAAAAACTTTAACATACTTATTTAGTAACCAACAAAACCAACTTCAATAAGGAAAAATATGCAGGTAGCTAAGTGGTCAACCAAATCTTGCCTTTTTTATTTTTTTTTTTATAACTTTTTTTAGCATTACGTACATATACAAGTGTAGATAATATAAGTATATATTCATATATACATAATGAGTATGTATATATACCAGTAATGCATTCATTATATATACTTATTTTCTTCACAGATATGTGAAACAGGAGAAAAGATGACTGTTACAAATAAAAAGTTAAAATGAAACAAAATCCAGAAAACAAATCTACTGATAGAAACAATTTGTAAATGCACTTTGCACTATTTTTTGTGTTTTTATAAACAGTTTTGCCTTTTTTGTTTAGTTTTATATTTTTATCACTTATTTATTATGTGGGAGAGGTGACACTCATTTAAAGTAGGAATAGTACCCATTGCTACCATTTGAACTTCCTATACTCAGCTCTTGTAGGAGGGAGAGAGGGTCGCTGTTCTTTTTGACCTGTTCGGGGCGAACAGCTCGGGGTTTGGGTGGAGCGCGGAGGGCGCTGGCATAGGACATGGTGGGTGGTTTGCTTAAATTTGGACCCCCCTGGCTGGCCTCTGGGGGAGCCTGCGGCGGCGGTGGCGGTGGAGGTTGCTGCTGATGCTTGTTATTGGGCATGAGAGGAGGAAACTGTCCAAGGTGCTGAAGGGAGTTGAGGGAGTGTGGGTGCGTCTGCTGTGCTGCTGCTGTGGCCTCGGCCTTCACCTGCTCTTCCGTCTGACGAAGGGCCTTGGAAGCTGCCAGAGGATTGAAAAGAGACCCCGAAAAGAGGTGAGAGGTAAATCAGACTTGGGTAGAAAATAATCAATAGTATTCCAACTAACTTCCAAACTACCAAAACACCTCTTATCGATACCTACCTAGAAGGTCCCGGTGCTGAGCGAGTGTGCCGGCTCCGTTACATGGAATGTTCTGGAACGGACCGGGACCCCCACCATTACTGGGCCAGAGGTCATGCGAGGGGTAACCGTAGGGGGCATGTGGGTGCTGATGATGCTGTATGTGCGGATGAGGGTGGTCCTGGTGGTCTGACGTACAGGGCTGCGGCTGCTGGGACAGGGCATTGTGGGTGTTGGCTGGAGACGACTCATCAGGGTAGCTGGAAGAGATCCGGCGCTGATAGAGAGGCCGGCCTGGACCTCTGGGTTCATACTGTTTAGACAGTAAAGGAGGAGAAAAAAGTGACAACAAGATATTAAGTCAAGCAGAATGGTGGGCAATATGACCTTAAAAATAAAAGGGACTCGCAGCCCTCAAGTATCAGCAGCCCCCTTTTCGCAGCACTTACTGATTCAGTTGTGGGGTCATTAAAGAAAGGGAAGAAGACTCTTGTGCAAAGATTTATTAAACAACCGTTTTATACACCACTGCTGTGCACAGAGCACCTTGTTTTTGACAGATCAAAGCTCTGCAGAAAGAATTCAACCAGTCCCTCCAGTGCAAGTCTTACTCATGTATCAGAGAGAACCTAGCAAGCAATTGTTTATCTTATAGTAAGTATATTAAGGCATGCGTGTAATACATCTTCTCCTTGTAATACAGCATTTAATGTACACATCATAATATTCACACTTCTCATTTGGGTGATTTGAGCCCCTAATTATGCAAGCTTGCCTGTCAGTATAGTTAGTTTTAGTTAGTTTATTTTAGGTTTTTCAGATTTTAAACTCACTGCTAATTTCATTGTTTTATTAAATCACTGATGATAATAATACAAGTAAATAAATACCTCATCTACATTGTGAAGGGCTGTGGCTGCTGATGTTCTGGGGGACAATGGGTGGTAGGACTCCTGGTCTGGACCTTGACTTTGTTGGTGTTGCTGCTGCTGCTGTTGTTGTTGTTGTTGTTGTTGCTGCTGCTGCTGCTGTTGCTGTTGTGTGTTGTCTGTTGTTGTTGTTGTCTGCTGCTTGTTGCTGCTGCTGCTGCTGTTGCTGCTGCTGTTGCTGCTGCTGCTGGTGCTGATGGTGAAGTTGCATCAGGTGGACTTGCTCCTGTCTGCTGGGGTGAGCCATGATGGGCAATCCATAAGGAAGGCCGTGGCCCTGGTTCCCTAACAGGTGGTTCTGCTGTGGGGGGCTCACTGATGCAGCTCCACCATGAGACCACTGGGCCTCTTGCAGAAGGTATTTGACCTGGGAGGGAGGGGGGCTGGCAGGGTGGGCTGGTGGCTGATGTGGGTAGCTACCAGCATTATACAGTGGGTTTCCAGGGTGCTGCTGCTGCTGCTGCTGCAGAGCTTGGTTGTTGAGAAGGTTGTCGTTAAGGAGATCGCGGCCAGTGTCATGGGAGTAAGGTCCAGATGGGAAAGGGCCAGCATGATTGGAGGTGGGGGCTAAAGAGGATGAAGGGTCACCTGAGGAACGGGGCTGGGACTGTCGGTACTGAAGGAGACGAGATTGAGGTGGGGGCTGCATCTCAGCGGCTTCTCTGGGTTCTGGCTGTTCCTGTGGGGGCATCTCCCTCAAAAGGCCCGGGTACCTGAGAATTGAAAATGTATTTCTTTACATTTGAAGATGGTGTTACAATTGTATGCAGCACACATTATTTTCATTGTTAATGTATGTAACAGAACAGAGTGGTGTTAAGTCCAACCTGGTGAAAGGGGGCCCAGTGGAGGCAGAAGGAACAGCTTCGTCCTCCATATTGGCACTAAGGCCCCAACTAGCTGCCCGGAGCAACTGATGGGGGAAGCGAGCCATGCCGGGCTGAGCAAGGTGGGCGAGCTGTTGGGGCAGAGGGAAGGCGACGCTGCTCTGGAGAAAAGGGCCTGCTGCCTCCCCCCACTGGCCCAGCCTGGCTGCCTGCTGCTGCTGTTGGCTCAGGGCCTCTAGGGCCAAGGGACCCTGGAGGTCTGAAAGAGCAACCACATGATAAGTTTTAGAGTCACTGGAGCTGTCCTCAGGACATGGCGGGTTAAGGAACTGTACACTGTTCAGTTTAGGATCTCTTTGAACTGATTCACTATGAGTCAATATCTAGAAGACTTCAATATAAGACATTAGACAATATATTGACATAAAGAACAGGAGATGCAAATAAAAATATATATTTTTTTAGATCTCGGAGGTATGCACATCTAATCATTTGCAAGCCTATAGACAACGATGTTTAAGAGCATATTTGCTGGTGTACGCTGACTCAACATACCCAAATCCTGTTGCTGTTTTTGTTGCCTGGCTAACTTTAAAGACCAGGCAAAGGCAGCTATTAATTAGCCTCCCAGAAAACCAGGATCTGCCAAAATAAGTCAAATTATCAGGATATGAACTCTTTAAAATGTTTTTTTATTATTACACAACTAATGCTGAATTTCAGTTAATTAATCAATTATTAAACATACCAACAAAAATTATGCTTCAATTTCTGTTTTATTAATCTGACAATTTCTTTGCCTAACAAAGGAAGAAGATATGATGCTCCACTCACCCAGACCGTCTCCCAGGCTTCCATCCTGTCCATCCTCCCCAAAGCTGTTGACCCGGTTATGCTGGCCAGGGTGGTGGGCCCCTGGGTGGCCCATTGGAGTCCTAATGGAGCTACTCATTTCCTCCACCCCTCCAGACTCTGGCCCATCCAAAGTTGGAGACTGGACAGCCCTGTGAGGGGGTATGGGGCCACTGAAGAAGGAAGCATTGTGGCTACCACCAGTGTAGGCAGGGCTGAGCTGTTGCTGTTGACTCTGTTGGGCCATCCCTGGGTGTTGAGGCTGGCTGACCCGATAAGGAAGCCTGGAGACCGGATACTGTGGGGGGAAGGCTCTTCCACTGGCATGATGTGGAGGAAAAGCTGGGTTGGGTGGTGCCAGGTGGTAGTTGAGGGGTCTCTGGGCAGCTGAGGGATCTTTTCGATGGAGCAGCGCATTGGGAAATCCAACAAGCCCGTCTGGCTGAGACTCTAGACTTCGACTTTGGCCTGTGTCTAAATCTCCCTGGATCAAAAACAAACACCATCACCATCAGCAAAGGCTTACCAGCTTTGGTAACGTGGGTCTAGATAAAATTACTTCTGAGAGTTACTTCTGGTTAAAAAAATGAAAAAAACCCAACTTGCCTGTTTTTCCTTCATGTCTGTGGTTTTCCTCTCTGGTGTCTGAAGACGGCTCTGTTCTGACTTAGGGCATCCTTCTAATTTCCCTAAGAAGTCAAAAAAGTCAAAAAGAAACGTATTACCACATGTTTGGCTATTCGATACAGTTACTTCTTTCTATTTGCTGGCATGAAATATAATATATATAAATTTGTGATTTTGGGTGGCAGACCATTTCTGATGGGGTCTGCCTGTAACTCCTTATCAGGGCTGGGCTGGCCCATTCCTAGAGGAGAGGGGTGGGCCACTCCACTGTAAGGGATGGGGGAGCCTCGATTCTGGGCCTGCAACAGGTTAAAGTTGTAGGCCATGGCTGCAGGGTGGCTCATGATGCGAGGGTCCACAGCAAAGCGATTCTGGTAACTCGGCCAAGGCAACTAAGGAAAATAAAAACAGATTACCAGATAAACAAATAATGACACAGAATAGAAAGGTAAACACATGCTGTGCATTATGGACAGCACTTTTCCAGTAATGTTGATTATTAACAGTAACATGCTTGTATTCATACTTGCTCATGAACTGTCTATGTGTACTTCTGTTTGCACACTAGCTTGCCTTATATTGCCCCTTAAGGGACAAATAAAGTATTTTGAATTAAATAGTCAACAAAAACCTAATTAAATAGTCAACAAAAACCTAATTAAATAGTACAACAAACCATACATTTGAAGTGAATATAGTAATTGCTTCATCTATTATTAATTAACCTGGGCTGGCAACTTTTTATGAGAAAAATACTCATATACTCTCATGTAAAATACTTGTGAAATAAATGTGTGTGTCACATATTTTATTCTTAGGAGGTGCAATCTTAAAATCGCAAGAAAACTTACTGGCAGGGGCATGGACATGACCATGTTTCCACCATACACGGCTGGAACGTAGAGGATACTGGCACCTGTGTGAGGATCTATCCTCTGAACAGGACTTGGTGACTTGCCCATGCCAGCTGGTGTGCCACCCAGGGGTGGTGTGAATGCCCGGATAGGGTTTCCCATCAGCATGGCAGGGTTGGGTTGGACTGCAAGGAGAGAAGGTGGCAAGGTAAGACAAATAAATACAAATGTAAATTCAACACACAAGCCTAAGGCATATCTAATTATTCAAAGATTAGAATATGTTACCACATGCACTCTATGATTCTATAAAAGAGAAGGGCAAAATCTAAATAGCTGATGGCCAGTGGTATCAATCTTGGCATGGAGGGCAGCTAGAAGTGATTTGCATAGATTTCAATTGATTTTCTTTCAGTTTAGGCTAATGTAGCTGGCTGACTATGTGCAGTTATAAGCCGCTGAAACAAACTGACTGTCTTCCCCTAGTAAGCATCATATTAACAACTCCTTGCTGGGTTGTTCAAGGCTGCATCGCTCTGATGGCTTCAGTAGCCTCAGGCCTTTATACATCCATCTGGGCCGCTGCATTAGACTGGCTCAAATCAAATTGTCGAGAAGTGTGCTTGTTTGTGTGCAGGAGGCAACAATGGAAACTCCCTTCACTGTTGCTCTTTTCTTAAAAACAAAACATATAGTGGTGAGGACATAAACGCCATGTGGATGGAATCTATTTCTATACATAGGTGATGCTATTTAACATTGTAATTGTTCTATCTTAATTCATTTCAACTGTTTTAGAATCCAAGGACACTGACTATTTGATGTAGTTTATCAATGGTGGTAATATATACCTTTCCAGGATAAGTCTCTACCGGCATTTGATTTCTTTCCTTTACCTAGCTCCTAAAGAAATTAAGTATTTCTAAATTAATTAAAACCTTTCTAAACAATACCTGAACAACCTACAGCTGGGTACTGTATTGTGTTTACAGTTTTATTACTCTGTTGCCTATTTGCTTTGCCATCCTTGCCTCTGCAAACCTAAAATAACTATAATGTATAAGCCTAAAAGGAGCCTTTGATTGTATTTTTCTATGGTTGTAGTACAGCGTGAAGGATGAGTTATTGACAAAAAAAATTGACAGCAAGAGAAAAAGTCTCGATTTCAGACAGAACATTGCACCTTTGACATAAACAATGACACTTAAACAGTAACAGAAAGACATTACCAGGAGCATGATGTAACATTGAAGGGAATGTTGTCATTCTCTTTAATATTGGCTGAGGTAAACATGGGCAGTATGATACACTCACCATATCCTTCAGGTGGAAGTTGCTCTGTGTGGCTCGCATGTTTCCCCTGTAAGATAAAAAAAATTATTTTAAAGTTATGAAGCAAGAGTAAGAGTCCATAGAGGCCGATGGAGAAGAAAACACGAAGCTGAGTGTGAGGTAAATACACAAGTCTGGCCACTGTAAAGCAATATAGGATCAGGGCAGTTGCAGTTCGGTCCTCACTCTATAGCTTGTATGTAAATAATTACTTGACCTTCTCTCTCAGTCTCTCTCCCCAGATCTCTGGACTATGGTGTTCCTATAGTTTATATGGAAATAGTTAGTTCGAGCTTTTAAATATTTAAAGTTTGTTTCATCTGCCTCAATCTCCTTGAGTTTGTGATTGTTTGTGATTGTTTGTATAAGAATTTTAATCTCTGTATACCAATCAGAAACAGGTTTGCATTTGCACTGCAGTTTGCACAATGGTTGGACAATGGTTGTTAAGTTTGAAACAGTAGAGCAGAGCACAGCTGAATTAATCCATAATAATGTTTGATGCCAACGTCTTCTTCTTATAGAACAAGCTATAGTAAAGCCTGTGGTTTTAATGCTACATTTAATTAATTAATAATGGCTGAAATGTCTCTGTAAAGTTAGCCATGGGACTCCTTACAGAAAGTAGACCTGGCCAAGAATCTGGTCAAATGTGCTTTAAACCCCATGCTTATTTACAGAATGATAATCATTGCCATGCCAACTCTTGTGTAAAAACTGAGTTACAAATTTTGACTAGAATGGATAATATACTTCCGTAACAGAATTTCTACTACTGGATGACAATAAGTAGAACCTCTGTCTCTGGCTTCAAAATACAGCTCCATCTACTCTGTGTACATAGAGTTTTAACTCAATTCTGATCAAAGTTGACACAGTGTAAGGATGTAAGTACACATAAGCACATTAGTCATGTACACACACAAATCTATACATATACATGCACACAAACACAGACATATACATACACACACACACACACCACTGGGCTCAAGAGACCTTCCTGTACCTGCGTTTAGGTGGACTCTACCTGGTGTATTATTAATCATTACAGGCAAGGATACACAACTATCTACTCTGAGCTCTTTCAGAGTCTGGTTTTGTAGCACGCAGTCTCCCCCAGCTGATTGTAGTGTTAACAGATAGTCCTTGACAGTGGGTATGCTTTACTTGATGTAGGCGGAAATTATTGACATCCTCTATTCCACTTGCTCCTACTATATGGCTATGCTGATATTAAATAAAGCTGGTGTTATTTAACTTTCAGGTAAGGAACCCTAGTCATAGGACTAGAAAAACAGGGTTTCGGTTGAATTATTATTAAGTCCATAAACTACACTTGTTATTTCATTATTTAGGTGACTAGTACTACTGCAGTCTTAGGCACCAAGACCCAATCTTCATGTATTTTAGAAAGTTGTTTATGAACCCTAACCCTAACCCTAGAAAACAATTAACTTGAACACTTGACATTCCAATTCAATTCAGCACACGACCACAGACTATGCCCTCTATAATTATCACAGCACCTAAAACAAAAATAAAACATAAGAGCGCTGACTTGTTGAAGCAATGCTGTAGTGTGTTTCTGGTATTCTGCAAACCCCCTACCAACCCAGACAGAACATGTTTGAAAGTACAGGCAACTGTTGAGTAAAATGAGAGTAATTCTGCAAATTGGACATTTAGAGGATTCCAGTATTAGATAACTACAAATTCTGAAAGACAGCCGTCCTATGTTGATACCACTTTGTCAGCTAAAAGAAAAGGTCAGGGCCTCCTTTCCTGACAGCCTCACACGCAGCATAGCCAAGGTTTATTGGTCCTTAAAATATGGTTATACTTGTGAAGCAGCATGTCCTCCAGCTTGAGCTGAGTAGCAGCCAAACCACAATGTCATACACAATAAGAGACATCAAGTATTTTGGTTCAACGAAAGGTTTAGTTTATGACAGCACCTTTAGCATTAGCATGGCATTGCAACCACATATAAAACTGCCTAATGTGAAAGTAATTCTCTGCACAACGCAATAATTTTACCAACACTGAACACGCAATTGTGCAATATGTAGTGTTTAGTGGGAGTAGGAGGTCTGAGATATTGTGGCAGTGTCGCCTCGCGGCTATTTTAGGGCGTAACATTAACTGAGCAATGCTAGACACATCAGACTGAAAACGGTGCCCATGGTCTACACTGTGGTTATTTGATCTAGTCATACATGTGCTTCTGCAAAATTTCCTCTAAAAAGGTATGAGCTGAATAGTGAAGACCAACAAGGATGTTGCTGAACGTTTGTCTCATAACAGGGGTCTGCTGAGAATGAAAAGCCCTGCTCACTGGATCTTAAAAATACTAGATGACTGCACTGGCTGTCACACGTCTTTGTGGCTTATGTTTGCCCTCACTGATTTTCCAGCTCAGCTAAAACGCAAACAAAAAAGAAAATAGACACACACTTTTGGGTGTCAAAGCGCAGCAGTAACAGTTGGTTTTCAATGGTAAAATCTAACTGTCAGTGATATGGTGATGTGTTTACTGTGCTGGGAAATCAATGGCAAGAGGTTGTTGGGAGAAAAAAAAAGATACAAGAAATACTGTAAGGAAGGAGCTAAGGAGGAAGCTAAGAGGAAGTTAGTTAGGGTGGGAGCACATGAAATCTTTTGGTATTAAGTAACTTTATTGGTTCTGAATTTCAGAAATAATGACACATTAAGCAAAGAAGTAATAAAAAAATATTTTTAAAAAGGCACTTGTACTTGTAAATCCTCTTTCCTCAATTAAAAATAACACTAACTGTGCTAAAATTGAAACTCCAAAAAGCTTTTTAATGTGAGACATATTTTACCATGTGTCACAGTCTTGCGTATTTGCACTAAAACACCATCTGTGCCAGAAAACAGCACTTCACAATATGAAGTTAACTGAAGAATATATTTTCCTGGTAAAATGGAATCCCAACAATAAACATGCTGCATGATTTGTGTTAAAAGGAAGACGTTTTATAAGTAATTGCAACTACAAATTTTATACAGTCTTCTCTGACCTCAGACATATCAATGTTTTGATTGTTCATCGCATTGAATCATTGTGGGTTTAATTGAGATTTTTGCAACTGGAAAGAAGTCCAAAAACTGTTTTGTGCTCCCAGTTATGCTATGAAACACTACGGTAACTTGGACAACTGAACTGGATTTTATCAGAAGCTATGGTGATGGACTTTTTAAAGTCTATCAGTAAATGATATTTGTATGGATTATTTTGGCTATATACCACAACCAGTAGGTGTATCAACCAAGTACTTTAAACTAGCAACATTGTGTATATGCTGAAGAAAACAATAAATTGCATACTGCTTACTGGTAACACTGTGTCTGTTTGTGCTGTGTTGTTGTGCTACATAGTGTGACTGAAAAAGGCAGAGAGAGAGAGAGA